GGATTCCTGATGTGGGGTTCTGGTTCCCACACCAGCCTGCTCAGTCTCTTGGTGGGCAGGAACCCAGTGCCAGTGCTCCTCTGAGCCACCACAGCTTTGTCCTGTACCTTCAGTGTCCATGATGGACACCCAATATTCTGCTGCCCTGCATGGGGAAGAGGCATTAACAAGTGCCTGTCACACTGCTGCAGCATTTTATCAGCAAAAGAGACCACCAAGGGGCATCTCTTCTCTGCTGGGAGATTTCCAGCTCCCTGTATAGGCATTTTGTGGGGATTTCTCCTTTGTTTTCCACAGCCTGTCCTGATGGATTTTATGGACTGGAGTGCCAGCAAGCCTGCAACTGCCTGAACGGTGCCCACTGTGACCACGTGACGGGCCAGTGCCACTGTGCCCCCGGCTGGGAAGGGCCCCACTGTGGCCCGGGGGGGGGCCCCAGCCGACGGGCCAGTGCCACTGTGCCCCCGGCTGGGAAGGGCCCCACTGTGGCCAGGGTGGGTGCCACTGCAGCCTTGGGATGGGATAGGATGGGATGGGATGGGATGGGATGGGATGGGATGGGATGGGATGGGAGCAGCCCTCCGTGAGGCATTCTGGAACCCTCGTCGTCTCCTGCACTGCTCAGCTGGAGTTTGTGTCTGTTCCCCACGAGTGATTTCTCTGCGTGGAAGTTAATCCTGGGCAGCAGGGGAGGAGCTGGGTTCAGGGATCAGCTCTGATTCTGGACTCAGGGCAGCTCTGGCTGAGCACATTGTTGCTGAATGAAATGAGGGCTTGGGCATGTAGCAAAACAGCTCCCTAATAGGCAGAACGATGTAGCACTGAGGATGGCCACGGTGTCTGCTTCAGATGTCACCCTCCTGAGGGGTACAGCTGCTATTTCCCATAGCACCATAAAAACCAGCTTACAGAGCCACCCCAAGCAGCCACGTACCAGTCTTGGTTCCTCTCCCAGACAGGCACATTTGGGACGGTTAGTAGGAGTCTGGCTGATGCAATTCATACCTGCCACCTAACAGTTCTGCCTGCTTCTGCTCCCACGAAGCGTGCCAGGAGAACAGGTACGGCCAGAACTGCAGCCAGACCTGCCACTGCTTCAACAACGCCTCCTGCAGCCCCGTCAGCGGCCGGTGTCTCTGTGCAGCCGGGTGGACGGGCCCCACGTGCCAGCAAGGTAACACAGCTGGGGGCCAGCTCCGTCTGGCTGCTCCCGGCCAGCGGCTGCTAAACGGGCCATTTTTGGGGTGGGTGGGAGCTTCCCATGAGGTGGCTGCCATGGAAAGCAGAGAGAGTACGGTAGCAAGGCCAGACCGTGGCTCAGGTCGCAGTTACCTGTCCAGTGCTTGCTGGAGAAGCTGAGAGGTTCCCTTCACCAGGAGCACCACAGCCTGCACTGACTGCCAGGCTCGTAGCAGCACGTGGAGTCACAGCTCACTGCCCTGAGCAGTCGGGCACCAGCTCAGTGAAACTCTGCACACGAGAACCCTTGTTCAGTGGTTAAATGTTGGAATGTTGGGGTTTTTTCCTCTGCCAAGCATGGTCACTCTCAGGGCCTCGGAGAGGAGGGTGCTCTGCAGCTCAGGACTGAAGGCATCGGCTGCCAGCTGAGCATTGCTCCTGGCTGCTGAACTCACCCAGCCTATTTGGTTCTGTGTATTCGCCCCCAGCAGAGCTAAGAAGGCTCTGCAGAGATCAGCACCCAGTGCCCTGTGTCATCACTGGCTCGGACCTGAGCAGGTTAAAACGCCAAATGTCGTGGTGTGGGCAGCTAGGCAGCCCCAGGGTGCCAGTGTCTCCTCTCCCAGCCTCGCTGCAAGCAGTAGTGCCTGGGGTTTATGCTGGGCCATCCACACATCACTCTGGCAGGCGACCAGCAGTGTGTGTGCCCCCAGAGCCTGTTCTGAGGGGGTGCCTGGCCTGGTGTTCCCACAGCGTGCCCGGCGGGTTTCTACGGGACGAGCTGCCGCCAGCGCTGCCTCTGCCAGAACGGTGGCACCTGTGACCCTGCCACGGGGCTCTGCGCCTGCCCCGAGGGCTGGACGGGGCTGGCCTGCGAGCTGGGTGAGCAACGGTCTGTCAGCAGCACGGGGAGAGGCTCTGGGGCAAACCTAGCCTGTCCTGGGCTCGTCTTCCTCCACAGGCCAGGGGTGCTGGTGTGGGAGTCCGTGGTCCTTCCCTGCGTGTTTTTGGGGAGGTGGGCATTTCACCGTGTGCCTCCCCCAGCTGAGGGACCTGGGGGTGTTTAGACTAGAGAAAAGGAGGCTCAGGGGAGACCTTCTGGCTCTGCACAGCTCACGACAGGC